AACTGTTACTGTAATTTTACTGGAATTGCAAGAGAGCTCACATGTAACTCTAAATGTACAAGTAACTTTCTCTTGACCACATGTTCAATTCAATTCAAGAAGATTACACAAAATTGTTGCAACCCGCTTGCTACTAAACTGAAATTTACAAATCAAAACAAAATTAGATGGCCTTAAGTTTCAATGGTAGCAGGATCTTTCTCAAAGAAATTTAATTGAATGCTGCTAGAATCAAAATATTAGGCTGTCTAATTTACTTTGAAATCAATTCAACTTAGCATAAATTGCAACTTAACAGTAATATCGTGGTAAGAAGTAAGCATGAGGTCCTGGGTTCGAGTCCCACCCGAGCAAGCTTGTGAAATTTTTCTTGCAAGCCACCAGGCAATACTGAGTATACAGTGTTTATAAAAAGTACATCGGCGAGGCAAAACCCACTATGAAACTAATAAAGAAGCCAAGTAGAAAGAGTGCATCTAAAACATATCAACGAGGAAATACTGCAGAAATAATCATGTCAATCTGACAAAACTACAATACAACAATTTGTAGATGAAATAAAACAGAAATGTAGAAGAAGAACAACATGCTGATACATGACAGACACCTGTCATGATAACATGGTCCACAGAATTTCCGAAGTTGGGTTGAAAGAATGGGGTCCGCTCATAAGTCCGACGCCTCATAGGTCCGACAGAATCGCATCCCCTAACCAAATAAAGGCCCATAAGTCCGACGCCTCATAGGTCCGACGCCTCATAAGTCCGACGCCTCATAGGTCCGACAGAATCGCATCCCCTAACCAAATAAAGGCCCATAAGTCCGACGCCTCATAGGTCCAACGCCTCATAGCTCCGACGCTTCATAAGTCCGACAAATTAAACGCCTCGTTTTTCCGTTGTCGGACTTATGAGCCGTCGGACTTATGAGGCGTCGGACCTATGAGGCGGAATAAATAAATTGTATGCCTCATAAGTCCGACGCCTCATAAGTCCGAAATTTCGGACTTATGAGGCGTCGGACCTATGAGGCGTCGGACTTATGATACAGCCCCGAAAGAATATAAGAATGTTTACTTTAGTTTTGCTTCTGAAGATGAACTTAAGTTCACAACTCTAGGCTGCATTGATTTTTAAGATTGTTAACTGAGAAATGTGCGGTTAGCTGAGGAATCAGTCTACCAGCTGAGGTAACAGTGAGTGGGACACATCATAGGCACTGGTTTGTGGTAGAGAATGCACAACCAATTTCTATGCACAAGTCCCATAGTGTCTTTACATCTTTTATCAGCAAAGATGGTTACAGTATTCCGGTGTGTTTAACCCTTCATTCCCTGCACCATATAACCATGTAGCACGGCCTCGGTCCATACCACACTCTGCGTATTGCGCTTTTCTGAGATGCGAGCGCCATTCCGTACAAACACGCACGTGTAATAGGATAAGCGCTATTTTTGTACAGCGTGCATGTTCCATCTTTACTGTGCGTGTGACACGTTTGCTTGACGATAAATTCGTTATCAAGCTCACGCTCGTGGAACACGGAAAGTAAATGTAGTGCGTCTGTGTCCCACATACCGTGAGGCCGAACATATACTTATAGTATAACTCATGTCGCTGACTGGGGGTATAACTTGTGCACATACAATGTACTTTTAACATGTATTCATTTAAGAGAAATAGTGCATTATACTGTGCATCAATAACATGTGCAACGAAATCATGGTCAAGTTGGCAACACAGGATCTGTTTCTACACAAAATGGTTTTACAATGCATTGATGGACAGTACAAAAGCACACATGCAATGGGGTTTGTAAGGCTTTATTTTGGCAACCACCCCCCTGCCTTTTTTAATGAAATCATGCTCTCCTGGTTTTGAATGCAATATATAATTCAACAACTTATTCATTGTGTACTTTTCCCCCCTGAAACCCCTAGCAAAAGAGCACAACGATGAGAAAATGAAAGTGACAGGGCAGTGTTTAAAACCCCCAACTTTTGAACTTCAATGCCAGAAAATTTCTCCCAAATCCTTTTGAAAACCGTTGATGCATATTGGTTGGCCCTGAATTTCTTTGGCGTTTACCGAAAAACCTTTGCAAGGACTTTCCACTGTGGATGTTTGCAGGACTAACCACAAGCAGGGTTGCATGCAGAAAGAATGACGGTTTGTGGCTTGCAAGGCCAAACTACATTGAAATCATGACAGTGATATGACAATGCATTTGATAAATTTCACAAAATAAAAATTTAATTACCGAGAAACTAAAGATTAAAACACTTACTTTGACACAGAAATTAACATTTTCTCTTGAAACAAATTTGTAAGGGTTATAGGTAATTAAGTAAAATTGGAAATTTGCCAAACCCCCCCCCCAAAAAAAAAAAAATTAGAAACAAATAACAGAGGGCCTAGAGAGAAGACAGTGTTTTGAATAGTGTTCTTAATTATTGTATTTTTTTAAAAATTCATCTGGTATTTGTTGGTGGGGTTGGATTAATTAGAATTCAGGACTTCAACAGTATAATGTTTAACTTGGTACGGTTTTACAAGTTGCAATCAATTTATGACCACATGATTACATTTCATTATGAAGCCAACTACATTTAAAAAAAATGTCAAGAGAGGCATTCTCATTCAAAAATATCTCTGTAGTAAGAAAGCTTCAAAAATCAGACATGGTTTCATTAGGCCTACAGACAAACATCGCCTCCAGCTTCAAATTCAAAAGTTGATTAATCATCCCAAGACCTCTGAAAAAGCCTTTCCGTATCAAATTGTTCATCATTGCCCCAATTTTCCCTATTAACAAAATGTGCATTTTGCCCCTGCCTATAGGGCATTTGTGATTGAGCTTACGAAATCCCTTCCTGTTACAGACTATAGGAGGAAGAGTTAATTGAAAATGTCCTTTTGCTGTTCATCAACCCGGATACACACAACCAATTCATGACATGGCCGAGATGCGTTCAACAGTCGCAAGGATTGCTAGTTATTCAACCTGGCCGTGAAATGAACTGTCTTCTTCACAAAATTTGTGTAATTTTGTGTGTAAGGTTTGTTATAGGCACGGATAGTGTCATAGTTAATAAGAAAAATGAACAAAACAAATTCAGTAAATAAAGGAACTTCCTCTTCAAAATACTAAGCTGCTGCGGGAAAAATCCACTAGTTACCAAAAAAATACAAGGGAGAATCACTCAAGATGAAGAAAAAGTACACACCAACAACAAAAACATGAACAGCTTATTTCTAGAGATGGTTAATAAACTTTAGGTTAGAGTCAAGACAGATGTTAAGTGTAATGCCCTTTGTTAATTATGCATATTGTTAGCATTATGATAGGCCAAACTATTTGGCAACACAATTTGTTCCCCATATATAACTCATGTTGCATGATTTGCAATTTATGCTATCTGTTATTGTCTAAACAAAACATAATCACCACTTAAAAGTTATGTATAATTTTCAGAATGTTACATCTTCAACAGTTAATTTTTGTGGATTTTTAAATCAGTTTCAGTTACCGAAAGGAGGGGTCATTTAGTAATACATAAAGCTTGTTTAGTGTAATTCATTTTATAAACAAGGGAAATGATTTTATCCCACAAATTTTGAACACAATCGGACGACTCTTTTCAAGGAATACATTCCAAAGGGATGACTAATTTCATGATTGATTGTAGATGAATAATGCACTCAAATGATGCACAAAACATTTTAACAAGCAAGTAAGCCACTATCACATTACACTCTAAAAGTGAAGTGATGAATCTAACACTTACAATGGTTCGGTCAGTGACTATCCAGCATGTTAAAGGTTAAATCCAACACTTATACAGTTAATTCAACAATTTAAGTGTTATTACAACATTTTTCAAAGTGTTAACTTTGAAAGTACTGCAGTTGAATCAACATTAAAATATTGAATGTAACAGTTCAAGTGTTGGATTAATAACATTTAAAATGCTGGATTCAAAACTTTAAAGTGTGGTCAATGACCAAACCCATTTGTGTTGGATTAATCAGTTTTCCAGAGTGTATATTTGCAACACTTTTCAAATTAAAAAAATGGGGAAAAAAATTCAAACAATAAATTTATTATAAGATGGAATTTTGCGTCGGGGTGATATAAATCAAATTAGGTTTTACCCTTCACCGACGTTTTTAAACACTGTATACTCAGTGTGTTTCCTCCCAAGTGAAAGTTGGAAAAAATCACTCGGTTTAAAAACGTCGGTGAAGGGCAAAACCTAATTTGATTAATAAATTTATTGTTTTAATTGGTTTTAATTTTGTTTGTTTGTTATACATACTCTTTCCACATTAATAGTTGTTACAATTGATGGTTACAAGGCATATGAACACACTTTTAAATGAAGCAGAACTTCAATTTTGTTTCAATTTAATCTCGTTTGGACAAAAGTAATGTGTTCATGTTGTTCCAGAACATTTGCACAACCAACATAAGTCATCATTAGCCATTCTTAACTTAATTAAGTCAATTCAACTACAGTACTGCTAAATCCAGTAATTTGGGCATTAGAAATCCTTTTTTTTCTCCTTGAATTTTTACTTTGGTCGGTTGCACTTCCCGACCAAACTCAACATTCAAAGAAAAGAAAAGGAGTTGTAGCGCCTTAAGTTACGGTCTACAGTAGTGCCATAATATTTTTTCTGAATTTCAAGTGAACATATAAGAGCGATGAAATTGCCAGTTTTTTCCAGAAAGTCCCGACGCCCCTTTTTTTCATCATATATTATCTCAAAAATGTTAAAAAGACATGAATCTGGGACTGAGAAACATTTCCAATTTTGTTAGAAAATACAAATATACTATGTTCATTGAAAATGCAATTGACTCTCCATAGATTTTGTAGCAAACACAACCAAAGAAGTGGCGTCAGGATACTTACTATACTACATTTTTTCCCAGTCTTCTTTAGTGGGGATTTCATATCTGAAATAGCAGTGATAAAAGGTATTCTAGTCACCTACCTGTGTTGCATTAATACTGCGATTGATGTATCTCCACGAACAATCCCTTGTACAGTCAGGATTGAAGAACGGGGCGTAATGCTGCCCACGGACCGCCGGGAACGGGCGCAGCGACACGGTCAAAATCAACAACACGGTGGTGAGATCTGTCCTCGGTAATCCTGCCATGTTTTCTCTGATGAATCCAGTCGCAGATGTACAACCGAGACGAAAGCTTCGATAGGATTGTCAGGAGCGTAGCACTAGCACAGTGCTGCTGAAAAGGCTCGTGACAGATACTAAATAATCTTCTTTCTTTGCCACTTGAATAATCTTTCAACTTAAAAACTTCGTACGCCTGCCAGTGCAGTGTGTGCACTAGTAGTAGTCGTGCGCGCTGAGAACAGGTGACTGCGTAAGCCCAGTAGCTAATCAATCAATTACGGCAATCGGACCACGCTACTGCGAATCACACCTATTGATTGCGCCACTGAACTATTTGTTATTCCTCCATCACACATGCTCCATGAGTGCACTAACCTGTCATCGAGTTTCCGGGAAACTGAGAATCGGACCTACCATCAATATTACAAGTTTTTTTCCTCGATAAATTGGCCTACATCGTGCAAATCCTGTTCTATTTGCCACGCGTGCCTCAGGCCCCGTCTCATCTTGTCTAAGCTACGCACGCCATGCGTAGATCATCACGATTTTTTCCCGCATGAGTGACTTGGAGCTGTCAGAACGTCAACACTTGAGGACGCTGTAATCAACGCAACAGGTGTTTTTGGAATCGTTTGCAATCATTAGCCCATTCCCGAGTATCATTATTACGGTTTGCACGCACATAACTTTTGACCAGCACAATATCCATGTTCTGCGGTTGAAAATTACTGGTTGCATGGCGCAGTACATATCTTCATAATATTATACTGAATCCACAGAGAATACCAGTAAACCCCCCCCCCCCCCCAAAAAAAAACAGACCATACGCCTTACAACCAATTTTAAAAAAATCATAGACGTTTTGTTTATTCTGTATACATAATTCTCAATTTAGCCTTAATCATGACGACACTCCCAGATCGGAGCCTTGAATATTTTATACATAACAGTACAAAGAAACTGCGTCATGAGTTAACACTAAAATATATTGAATTTATACTTTTTAATTTTATCTATAGATTTTAACTACAAAAAATGGATCGTCTGTGTGCGCTGGCGCATGTTTGTGAAGCGTCATCGAGTAATTGGGGACAGAAATTGACAAAAGAAAAAAAAAACATGTACAATACCAATGTATAAACAAAGGATCGATGGGTGGAGTTTTTCGTTGGATGTCTCCATCAAAAGTGTATACCCTTCGTATTGTTAGAAAAAAAACAATGTCGTACACATTTTTCGCAACAATGAATTGTTAGTTCTTGATGTGATCCTGGGACACAGGTTTCTTTTGATAAAATCATTTTCCCCCTCAAATGAATTGAAATGATCCTCTTCGAATTTGAAGCATAAAAAATAAAGCGGGCTTCATAATAACGTCTGTCCAGTTCCATAGGAACAGTGCCGCATAAACAAAATTAATACCTTGCTTAAGAACATAAGATTAGGGTTTTTTTTTGTCCATCACTGAAGCAGCTCAATATAAAATAATCTTAGGTAAATCCTTTACAAATCACATCGTGGATTCCTTACTAAAGTACTTGTTTTTCATGAAAAACATGTCTGTGTAGTTACAGCACATGTCAATTCTTTGCTTGTTACTCTTAACACAATAGTAAACTTAAAAGAAAATAAGATTGTTTTTTGTCCTACGATGAAACAGCTATAAAGGAATCTAGGTAAATATATAGAGATTTAATCAGTATTTCATTTAAATATTAAACATTTTGATAGGCTGGATCCTTATTTATTGAAGAACCTGCACATCAATAAAAAAAAATACATCCGAGTACTTAAGACCCATTTCCATGTTTCTTTCTCAATATAATATAAGCTTAAGAACATATTATTTTGTTTTCCATTTAATGAGCATTTCATCTAAATGTTAACATTTTCATCTGTTGATTCCCCATTCTTTTCACAATGAAAACATACACTCAACCAAAAAAAAAAGCCATCCCCCCCCCATTTTTTTGTCTAGCTCAAAACTACTGCGCACATCTTGCTGAAATTACGACTGATCAGTACAGAAATTCCTTAACAATCCAGCCATACTTTTTGTTTGGCCAAAACAGTGATAATGTGTACAAATTATGCAATTGATGACAAAATAATGTATGACAAATTGTATACTATTGTAAAAAGTGCAACTGTTGTCGGTAGCATTTATCATAAATTGTATAATTCGTACACATTATCACTGTTTGGGCCAAATAAAGAGTATGGCGGGATTGCTAAGGAATTTCCAGTACTGATTGGTCGTTATTTGAGCGAAAGACGCTCAGTAGTTTTTGAGTTAGACAAAAAGTATGGGAAGGGGGGGGGCTTTCTTTTTTGGTTGAGTGTATCTGGGTAGTTAAGGCACATTTAATTTCCCCGTTTCTTAAACGTTTTTTAAACTTGAGATTAAAATCTTTTAAAACGGATGTGCACCCTGAAACTTTTGCCTGAAATTTGAGGTATGAAGGACAGTTTTGACACACATATATTGTGAGTGACATCATCAGGATTCGAACCACAAAACAGCAAATAGGGCATGTATGATCTTGATGGATTTTTGTCTGTCGGGAGTGTCATGGCCTAGCGGTTAAGAGCACTGGACTCATGTTCTGGGTTTCAGAGGCAACAGTGACGTCAGTTTGAGCCCGGCGCAGACACTTGTGCTCTTAAGCAAGGCACTTAACCATTATTGCTTCGTCCTTCGGATGGGACGTAAAGCTGTATAGGTCCCATGTGTTGTATAATGCACATAAAAGAACCCAGTAAACACTTATCGCTAAGAGAAGGGGTTTGCCCCTCCTTGTTTCTGGCCTCCTGTATAATCTCCCACGTGGAGTATTTAGGAGAAGAACCAACCGAGAACCAAGATCAGAAAAAAAACGTGACTTGGTCTTTGCCCTCTATCGAAATGCTTTAAGCACTGTATCAAGTTCTGTGCTTTCTTAGAGCTTGTGAAAAACCATAATAATAGTACTCAGGTGGGACTTGAACCCACTCTAGCAGGCATCAAACTTAGCACTTTTGTCCAATTTATCTATGACGGAACCTCAAACTGGACAACAATAGGGTATTACTAAAATAAGAATCACTTAAATCATCACAAACTCTGGGTATTAAAAAAAGCAATGCAAACTAAGACCTCAGTGTCAGAACACTATAAATGATACAAATGTATGAACTACTTTAAGGGAATAAACTATTTAACTCCATGAAAATATAAAAATTAATACAGTATGCAATTGGGCAGTGAGAAAGACATCAGGCTCAACGTTAACCTTGATTTAAGATAAGGAACAACATGAGCTCCTTGCAAAGAATAACCAAATTGAACACCAAGGACAAATACTCTTTGATCACTGATTTCATCTCTGAGTTTAAATAAAATATGAAAGTTTGCATGGTGATAAATCAAGATTTATGGAGCACCATGCATTTTGTTATAGTCCGAGTATCACCTGTTATCCACGGAGCCAAATCCTGTATAACGTCTGATATCTCCTGACATGCAAATTTATGCAAGCCGCGCGCCAGCCGCGCGCCAGCCAATCAGAGTCGACTTTACTAAATCGTGACGCCATTTCATACCAGTGTTTTGTAGTACAACAGCCAGGCGCGATATCGCGTAACATGATACAGAGCGTGTGACACATTTTTATTTTTAAATCCATTGTCCATGACAACGGGTGAAAGACCGAAGACCTGATATAGAAAGCCCTCACTGATTAGCCAAAAAAACTAGGAGGTCAAGAGGAGGGGTCTTGCCTAATTAATCAGTGAATCTGTTCACGTGTCATACATAGACTAGCATTTTGTGAGGCTGTGAAAAGAACCGCAGCAAACTCAACGTTTCAGCCCGTCCTCAGGAGACTGCCGAGTTTGAAGTCAGAGAACAGCCAGCACATCCAGGAATTTTCTTTGAACTCTAACCGAGTCACAGCAATTATAAAACATTTACAAATAAACATAAAAGGACAACAATAAAACAGTAATTTACTTGCCCCAAATTAACCGAGTCACTGACTGACCCATCGACTAACTAACAGACCAACTGGGTATAAAGAAAGGTCCTAAACTGTTCAACTACAATCAAACGTTCGTGTCTAGCTTTACTGGTTAATATTTGTGTCTAATTTTACCCTTTGAATATTTACACATGGTCTGATTAACTATTCTATTCAATAAATGAACTCACATGAAACTGGCATAGGCAACTTGGCAAAGGGACATGGCAAAACACAATTACATTTCTGTCGCAAAGACTTGAACTATAAACAAAATATTGTTTCACACCATGTTTGAAAGTTCGAATGAGCAATTCTTAGGGAACTACTGAAATTTTGGAATACGGTGCCAGTTTCTTTGTTTTACGTTCTTTGTTTTACCAGAACAAAGTTGTTCCTAATCAGAATTAATTGGAAGGGCATGGTTAAGAATTTTTTACAGATGAACATTCACGTTACTATAGCCTATGAGCATGCAATAATATACAAATATTGACTGCTTCGAGTGGTGTAGTAAAACTAGCCTCCCGAGATGATTCACGGACATTCTATTTTCCCGAGGCGAAGCCGAGGGAAAATAGAACGCTCCATGGATCATCGAGGGAGGCTAGTTTTACTTCACCACAAGATAAAGCATTCAATGACACTTCACCCACAGATTCGGCTTGGTTTTAATATTTTAAATTATTTAAATCTGAACACAGTTAAAATAAACTTCAATTTCAATACCAAATTGGAGAAATATGTATTTCTCTCTTCCAAACCACCCCTTCACGAAAATGTTTGAACCTAGGTCTGTGGCGCGCTATCTTGGGAACAATACGCACTACCAAAACACTAAACGCGCACACCAGCACGCATTTGCACACAAATACCGCGCCATGGATATAGTACTTTGGTTGCTAATGGTATAGTACTTTGGTTGCTAATGGTATAGTACTTTGGTTGCTACGGGTATAGTACTTTTGGCCGTGCCTGAAAGATAGCAAAAATAGAAAGTACCATGTGACTCGCTGTCGGCCAATCAAGACACAGAATCTGTGGGTGAGGTGTAATAAAAACAGCTATACACAACAACAAGTAGCTTTTTTGACAAAAATATGTAACACTTTTCCATTGTAGCTAGCCTACATCGTATAAACAGGACTCAATTAAACTTTTACTGTGGCTGCTCTTTTTTTTATATTAAAACCTGTAAGAAAATATATTTCAGCCACTTGAAATAGTCACATTTTAAATTGTTTCTGAAATATACAAATCAATACTTTTCTGTATAACTATTCTGTATAATTATTATCACTACTGTTCTGTATACATTTAAAAATCTTAATACATTTTCCCAAATATACAAAATTTGATTTACCAACTTTATTCCATGTATATAGAAGTACAAAATATATATACTGACAAGCTTTCTAAAGAAAAATATTCATTATATCACTTCTGAATATAGATTTGTCTGGGTAAAATATTAGAATTATACACTAGAAATAAGTGTATATTAAGCTTGGCCAAAGGGTGAGTGGGATACAGTTTTACACACATGATGACTGGGCCCTAGCCTGCCTGGTGGTGACATCATCACCCACCTGAACATCTGAATAAAAGTCGCTGGATTGGAAAGGATCTCCAGGCCCTGGATTCATGGTCAGGTGTATGTCGTCGCTGAAGAAGCGGGTCGCCGGGTCGTCTACATCTTTGTCATGGTGAGGCGGCATCACCACGGCAACGTCACTTACCGGGACAGACTGGAACTTCCTCAGCGAAATCTCATAATCGGATCCGGTGCTGCTGCATCCGCTAGAGGCAGTGTCCCTGAAGAAGTCGTCGGAGATTTGAGCCGCGGCAGTGCTGTCATAAGCCGAGTCGGTGGAGATCTGAGGCGACAAAGAATTCAGCAGGGGTTGCTGGGATAGGCTGGTGTTGTTGTACTCCAAGGAAGTCTCTCTGGTGGTTCCGTTGCCCTTGTTATACTTCTTGTACCACTTGGGTTCCCTCTTGATCTGTTCCTTCATGTTCTCGATGGCGTCGTGTAGTGGCTTCCCCATGTCTAGATCCGCATAGCTTGCCTCCTCTAGATCCTTGACGCGCCGGCTGGAACTTGGACTATCCTTAACTTTGTCGTGGATCCTCAGAAAGAGGGAATCCATGCACTTCATCAGGTGGTACTTGCCAAAACGCTTGAAGGACATCGGAATGTCCTCCTCACTGGAGTAGTCAAAGAAGCAAACCAGAAACTTCTCGCAGGCATCATCGGTGCTGCAGTACGCATCAAGTAGTGTCAGCGCCTGGATGAAGACATCGCCATAGACTCCATCCGAGCTTGGGGTCATCTTCTGTCGGGCCTTGTCCTTGAATTTTTTCCCGGTCCCCTTTGAGCAGATCAAGAGGACTATGTCAGCTTTGTCGATCTCGGCAGCCAGCCACATCCCGACGGTAGGACTCACGGACTTCTGCCAATCCATCAACCTTACGTCACACTTGCAGTGCTCCTTCAGGAATCGGCAGAAGCAGTGAATGACTTCCTTATGGTGCGGGTGGTCCTCGGAGTAAATTGGCAGGACGCGTCGGTAACGATATTGATCCGGCTGCCCCCTTGGTCCTGGAAGCAGATAAAATAATCAAACAAAAAATTCAGTATTTTGTGCAGAAGGTACTGTTTCTTAAAGAAACATTGGCAATATTTACAATTTTTTTTCAAAAATAATTAACTAAATGAGTAACAGTTATTATGTAATTATACTTATGCGCCTATCAATTGTTTATATTACTTTTAAAACTGATATTTTAATTGTGACATGCATGCAAATATGATTTTCTGGACAGGAAATATAGACCTACAGGGAAAAATCCATCAATCAGTCACATAAATTCTGATCTCTTTACAGAGAGATTTGAAAATCAACAAAGAATAACAAATACGACAATTTTGCGGGGACAAGAGTCATTAAAACATTATAAATTTAAAAGGCATGCAGTTTTCAAATAAATATCACTATGGCCTCATATGCAAGGTAACCCACCACTTTCCCCCAGTCAGACGCGTTGTATTTCTTGTGAGAGTGGCATGCCAGTATCACAGCGCGAGGTCATGCAGATTGAATATTCATTTAACACCCTGCATACATGCATATATTATATTATAATCGCGGCTTGCTGTCTGGTGCCACGCTTACATCATCATTGCAACTTTGTATTCAGGAGATGGGAATCAGACCTAGTGCAACTTCGGACTTCAATCGATCGGAGAGTTATGTTAATGGTTAACTACATCTCCATACCTGGACCTGGTGGTCTGAACTCGCGTGGGTCACCGGGTTGGTTTCTATGATGGCGATACAAACAGAAGGCCAAGACAAATAGGAGCAGTCCTACCACACAGCTGGCTATCCCTATGCCGATGATAATGCCAACCGACATTCCCTCTGTCAAAAATGAATCAAAGGATGGTTTTAAATTAGCAGTGTAAGTAACGAGTCACTAAATTTTGTGACTTGAGTCAAGTCGAGTCATTTTAAGGAAGGGAGTCAAGTCGAGTTGAGTCATTAGGTCAAGAAATCGAGTCAAGTAGAGTCGAGTCACAGTGTGTGGTACTAGCCGAGTCACAGTGTGTGGTCTGGTTGAGTCAAGTCACAGTGTGTGGTCGAGTCGAGTCACAATGTGTGGTCGAGTCGAGTTGAGTCGAGTCAAATTTATACTCGAGTCAATTTGAGTCACTGATATTTGAACACCATCTAATAACTTAGAAAATGGAAGAATGAACACACTAAAACACAAGTGTATTATGAAGATCCAAAAAATTTAAATATTCTGCATGGTACCCAATAGACAGCTGCTGCACGACGTTTAACAAGAAGTGAAACTTTGGTTTTATCTCAGCAACATATTAAACTGTTTCTGATTACAATGAAATATATCGAATTTAAAGCAGGACATAAACTTAGCCAGAGTTCCATCAAGGGCTTAAGAAATCGCCAGAAGCCGTTGATGAAACCAAGAATTGGGAAATGCGTTTAAAAGTCTGGTTCTGGGATATTAGTTTGTGTGCTACTTTATGAAACCATGAGGTGGGAGTCTGTGATACAGCGTATATTTGTATGCGGTAAGTGGAGACAACTTGACGCCAACACGAAACATAAAATAACTTTGTGCCATAAGTCACTGCAAATATATTTTCGCACAGTTTTGGGAGTAGTGTGAAACGCTGCATGTTTCCAACCCTGCATCAACCCCGTGTCAATCCCATGGCGTGCCATGACTTTGTGGTCTGGAGCACTGAATTCGTGGTCTGCGGGTAATTCTGCAGGTTGTGGGTTCAAGTCCAGCCTGGGGTTATGGTGCGTGTGCCCTTAGGCAAGGCACTCGTTGCTTCTCCCCACCCAGGAGTAAATGGGTACCTAGCTGTGAGGGCAGAGATGGTTATTGTGATTGATTTTCAAGTAGCTGCTTTACGCCAAAATGGCAGCATCGAGCTGTATACTCCCCAGGGAGCTGAGATGGTATTTGGAATGTTTTATTGCCCAATGAGCAGGAAATAATGATGTAGCACCTTGAGGAACAAAAGATGAAATTTGAAGCAGTAATATACCTTGGCATTCTCCATCTTCAAATGTGTAGCCTTCATCGCAGATGCATTTATGGCTGACTTGGTCATCGGTCAGATTCTTCTCACATTGTCCATGGGCCCCGCAGACCGTCAATCCTGTCTCCTCGCTATCAGTGCATGGATTAGCTGTGGAACAATAATGTATATTCATAATTCATAAATACTTAAGACAGTTTACCCATTCCTATTGGTCGAGAGCCAGTCACATGGCCAGTTTTAACAGTTGATAAAGACCGGCTGGCTGGCCTTAAACCCTTTTCCAGTGTCAAATAAATTTTGGACTCCTACGGAAATCCGGTGCCTTTTAGCTACCGTTTTTTTTGGTTGAATGTTTACAATGCTCATGTAGACATGCACAATGTCTACAAATACACCAGTGTGTCAGTACTTCATAGTCCTAAATTCACACTTCACTGGCACAGCTGTGTTCTGCGCCACTTGCACATGCCAATCTCCATCTAAGGAGGTGTTTACGACATGGATACAACATTATATAGCAAGAGGGGTGTTTCAAAAAAATATGAAGTGAATTTTTGAACAAAATCGTTAGAAATTTATAATTTTTGCATTGGTTTGACTTTTGGACCGAATTGTTCTGATTTTTTTTACCAAAAAGTTATTAATGAAAGGGAACAAATATGTGCTTGGCCGGTATTAAACACTCTGTTTAAGACCAGTTGGAGTGTGGATGCTGATAATTACCCTCGCCGAGAGTGTTTCAAACTTGCCAAGCACACATTTTGTTCCCTTATTCATAATTATACAGCATATGTATCGGCTGATATTATTACCCTTGCTCAGCAGGCCAATAAAGATATTCCGCAGAGCATGCTACCAGGAGAATATATAACGTTTAAAGTCTCCTTAAAGTCTGCCCAATTGACTGGTTGCAGGTTCAACTCCATTCATTTGCTTTGTTCAACTTTATAATTGTTTGGAACATGTATCTGGACAATTTTCCCATAACCCTGATGACACCTTATCCTGTATTTATGCGAACAATTGGGTCTGTTTCTCAAGAATGTTCGCAAACTACAATAAAACTGCAATACAATGCAACAGTAGTCGGTAACTCTTTAAAAAAAAAACCACCATGATTAAATTTCAACCTGAAAGTGGAAAAAACCCATACTTCTTTATAATGATTGATCCTATTTTTCATTGCTGTTTCTTAAGTCAGACACTTGGTACCAGGCTAAACCGATTTGAAAAAAATGTTGGAATGACAATGGCAACATAACACCACTTACCCACACATGTCTTCGGCGTTTTCAGATAATCGAAACCCTCGTTGCAATTACAGTAATAGTCTATCTGGATAGACATGTGATCGTACTGGCACTCTCCATTTTCACATCGGGGCAACCAATCCTGTCCATTCTCAGCCAGAACCATGCAGGGGTCCACTGGGGGGGGGGGGGGGGGGGGGAGGGGGGGAATTGACAGCGAATTATTAATTTTGAAGACTTAAAAATCATGGTAAAAAATGAAGAATATTATATCCAAAACATGATACATCCCACTGGCAGCGTAAAATTATTTGTTTGTTTGATGCGTCAGGCAAAAGCCAATAACTATTGTATTGCTTGAAATATAGTAATAACATTTGTTAATGAATTTGTTGAAGAGACTGGACAATGTCCGACACCAATTTCTAACAATATCTATATGCCTAGCCACTTACCAACACATGTTTGGCTCCATTCCATGTACCCCTGATCGCATTCACAACTGTAGCTTGCCTCCTGCGATCGACACTGGCCCGCTTCCCCGCACAGATTCCTCTTACATGGATCAGCTGGATAAGGGAATCAATGTAAACATTTGTTTTATTTTATCTTATTCCCTAATTTATTCATTTATGTAATCTAACAGCAACAATTGCCACTTCATGTGTCTAAACAAACATTGAACAAACAAAAAAATAGTAAAAATTGTTAATAGACAGGCAACTCCCCACCCCCCCCCCCTTGAAAAAATCAAAAGAATCAAATTGAAAAATTTGATAAAAATTCAAAGAAAAACTGATAAAACTATACAAGGCTATAACTTTAAAAAGAAGAACACTTAAGTTTGAAAAAATTGTGTTTCTGCACGCAAGTTGTAAAAATTGTAGGCCAAGTTCTATCAAGGACCATATTCTTTCACAACTTGGTGTTCGTTCAGCACCAACTGATTTGCATATTGAAGCTTCGTTATCCTGGATATATGCGGTGCGCTGCAAAACATGCGGCTAATGATGTGAAAAAAAAGTAGGCTGGTCACAACCATTGGAGAAAGTCAGTTGAAGCGCGCAGAGGATCCATGGTTGAAGTCCATTTGACAATGTTCTTGTTCAAACTTGCTCATACATTTTCTTTTAGGATATATCTGTATGATCAGCGAAGTATTTCACCTATGAGACTGAATGGCAGACTGTTTGTAGTTGTGCAGGATGTTGTTGCCCCTTCTGCATCCAGGCACTGATTTTCGGATGGTCTGGGCTGAACCTGAAGACGAAAAAGATTGTCAGTAAAGCTTCAAGTTAGGAAAAAATATATCCTCGGCATTGCTAGTGCTTGAACGAAACACCTCAAATTCAACACAAGTCCAATTTCAACCATCCATTTTTAATCTTAACAACTATCAAATGAACTATTCAGATAGAAAAGAACCGACCCACACTAACACCCAGCTGGCTACCAAACTGCAAATATGCAACCCTAAAACATTTGCCTTCAAAAAAAAAAGGGGATGGGTGGGTTTTTATCTTTTGGTTATCAGATTATTAAAAGCTGAGAGATTTTTCTTTCAAATACTGAAAACAATCATGAAAATGGCACTTAAGGTTGCTGAGAAAATGCCAATTATGTAAAAGTAGTCATTTTTCATCCTGTACACAAATACTTCTCTTGTTGGCGCCCGGAGCCAAAAAATTAATAACAACTTCTGGGGTGGGTTGAAGATCTAATGCTTACCTTAGCAATGTACTCAGTATCTGGGCTCTTCACCAAAGCGGAGATGTTAAACTTGTGCACTAACATTGAAACAATGTCCTGTGAACACATCCCGTCAGCAGCATCATCCTATAAAACCAGATCATAAGGAATACATCCATTAGCTCACTTTATATCCAACCTTGAATCATTTTAATTTTGTAAATAATCCCACTTGAAATTTGCCTGTTTTTCCATATGCAAACACACGTTCTGTGCAAGCTGTCGTTTCAGTCAAAATCAATCAAGTGACTATTTTCAACAGTTAGGAGCTCCAAAAGCCACCATATAAACAGGACTGACTGGCTTCGACTGTTGATGTAACTTAATACAGCTTATATTGCTTTGATTGTCGGTGATCGATAAACCAGGTCTGCCCATTACTTGCCTGTTTTAGTCTGTTGCAAATGAATTGACTATAGTCACAGTGCTTGTAGGATGACTGTTGGGGCTTATGGCAGGGGAAGGGACTGATTTTTTTTACTTTCTGTGACTGTACAGACATGATAAATCGTAGAGGGGAATTCCAGGCTGGATTAACTTTTTGGGGGGTGGATTTGGGGTGGGGAAGTCAATGAAAGCAGGGAGGCATATTCCATAAATACTTTAAGAAATGACATCCAGTATACAAACAGTATACAAATATAACATGGTTTGAGGGTGGACAGTCGATATTCGCTCCCCGAGGTATTGGAAGTTGACAAACTAGTTCCCGAGGCGAAGCCGAGGGAACTAGTTTGTCAACTTCCAATACCGAGGGGAGCTAATATCGACTGTCCACCCGAAATAAACCATGTTATATTTGTTTTACTATACCTCATTCATATTCAGTTGCCGAATTTTGTTTTATTATTATGCACCTAAAACAAAATTCGGGGAAACTTGTACAGCTCACCAAAAAATTCAACTTCAATTACTAGTTCGGTTCGTTTGCAACATAATACAGTTACTACAGTTGTAAATACAAATGTTTGCAATGTGTACAACTTTCTTTTGTACAAGAGACATCTTTACACGGTCTATAAATTTTCTCCAGTACGGCATCATTGAGCTCTGGAAATTAACATTTACGTGAACCATGCAATCATGCATCTCTCCTGGGCGATGTTCGCGCGTGCGTACTGCACCCGTGCGACAGTTCCTTGATTGCTCTGTAAAGCGCAGGCGTAGTAGACTGTCGCACGGGTAACCCATGCGACAGTCTACTACGCATGCGTATTGACAATGTGCGTGAATCCTCGCGCACGCGTTTGGTAAACAGCAAGAATAACATCTGGCACGTGATGGTGAACTGACCAGTGAACGTTCGGCTCTCGATCATGAATATGTATGAGGTATAGTAACAGCTAATAGTACCCACCCTGTCAACCTCAGTCCAGAGTTTTGAGGGCCCACCAATCAGGGTGGGAGAATTTGGCACGTATTCGTAGATGAATATCCTGTAATAGTCGAAGTTATAGTTCATTGGAGCCACGTCAAATTTGACCTCCAGATTGTCATATTCACCGCTAGTGATCAGTTGATCCGCACCAAAACAATCCGGAGACCACCGAGCTGTGAGTGGGTTAGTAGTATGGCAGGCAAATCATGCAAATAGAAAAAAAAGTTCCATGCACATGTTAGAAACAAGAAATAAACAATGCAATCATGCAAATAATGGCAGAATTATTTGTGTTGCTTAGCTAGGTTGGTCAAGTGTTTTATTTAACTACACAGATTTTTAACAAAAAAAAACCATTTTTCAAAGGGGAGTAATGCCCCCTCCAACTCTTGCTAGTGTTCTCTAGCATCTGGGTAAAACTTAAAAATAGTTTCTCTTAACAGGGTATAGAATGATCACTTTCGATTAGAAATTGGAAATGCCTACATAATCACTGCAGTCCCCATGGTATAGGGGCCAAAACGGGGAGGGGGAGGGGGGCAAAACGGGGAGGGGGGGGGGCGCAAAACCGGGGGGGGGGGGGGGGGAAATGGGGCAGGCCAGGGTGTAACATTCACTGAAAAGAAAAACATAGAAAGGGTGTTCCCTTTCGACAAATAAGGTCCAGGTATATACCCCCTCTCAAATTTGCAATGTGCCTTGCTTTTCCATTTTCAAAACTGTTCCGCAAACGCTACCTACATAACAACCATTTTGCTGAAAAAAGCTAATAATGGGGAGGGGGGTTGACCCCTCCCCCCCACCCCAATGTACCAAAAACCTGCATGTACCAAAATCAAACGTACCATGCAATCAATAATTTAATCAGTTATCACAAATTAACCATGTATGTGTCAAATTGAAATGCAGGTTAAACTAAACCGAAGCAAAAAATAAGAGTGTTGTTAGTGCTTTTCATTATAATACAATTAACAGTATCAGTTATCTAAATAACGGCCACATGTTATTTTAGCTCAAAAAAATAAAACTTTAAAAAATAAATAAATAAAAATAAAACCTGAAATGGGTTTAATCACTGATTCAGTACAGTGTCAATATTAAATGCTCTCTTTCTATTTGGGAAATACTTTGGTCAATTAAGAAACACTTCAGTATAAAATTCAAGTAAATGCCCACCTTCTATACTTCTCTGACATCGGACATCGTCAGTTTTGCTTGGATCATCGCAATCTGTAAAAGGAAATAAAAACAGTATGATTATTCCCCAATTTTCTCCTTTGACAAAGAAATTTGAAAGTCCTCAAATGAGACATTTTGACTTTCACACTATAGCTTTCAATTTTCGAATAATTTAGTTTTTGTTAACGGAATTTAGGATTCCCTACGAGGGCCATATTGTCACTGTTTTCACGAAAAGCCATATGTTGCTTTTGAAGAAAAAGCGTTTTCGAGATAATCGCAAAAGAAGTTTCTCATATATTATAATAAATACAGTAGTTAATCAATGAAATTTAATTAGTAAAGATATGTGGCTCTTCGTGCAAACGAAAATTTTAAGTTTTCTACATTTCGACCCTTTTCTGTTCGACGTGCTTTTCCATAGCCGCGCGTGAGTACGCGCGTGCAGCTGAAAATGTAACAAAGATATGTGGCTCTTCGTGAAAACGAAAATCTCAGTTGACCTATTTTTTACGCCTTTCCGTGCAATAGGTTTTGTACGCATTCAAAGAGGCCAAAATGTATGTGTTTCTTCGTGAAAAACGCAAAATGCAATTATCAAGATTTCTGCTCCTTGCATTATTAATGTAATTTGGAAATTAATGATGGTTTGCTTACAGAAACATGTCCAAATGGTTCAGTACAATGTTTTAAGGCAAAATAGTGAAACAAATCAAAATCGAAAAAATGGTATTTTTTTACATGTAATTATTATGTGGCTCTTAGTGAAAACGGTGACGATATATGGCCCCCAAAACAAACTAGGAACACCTCCATCTTTTCCTCAAAAAATGTTAAAGAGGTCAGATATTGCCTCAGATCGCACCATAGATCATCTCCACAAATTTTTTTTGGGGGTCCTTGAGCGGGCCCCGAACCCCATGCCGTAATTTTTTGGACCCACAATTGTTGGGGGACCAAAATATTTTTGGGCCCCCGAAAAAATTATGTTTAGGGTCTGCCCTAGCTTGCTTGTGTCACGTACTTGGCGGTCTATGATAGTCCTGAACTTTAGTATCGTCTTCATCCACAGGGTTAGGGTCCACTGGCAATGTGCGAACAGTGTACAGGTACTGACTGCCAGGCTTTAAGCCGCAAAAACACTCCATGGAGAACACACGCTGCAGCCAAGATATAAGAAAACACATTGTTTTTATGTTTCAAAACTGTTTATTTTATTAAGTAAAAGATACCTTTTTGAGACTTTGATAACAGAGCTCGTATCAGGAGCTTGTGACACCATCACGGTGTCTTTGTCAACTGGTGTTGTTGAGGCCCACACGTGACCTGTCACGTGACCAAGCTTGGTCACACGACAGGAGGCAGTCGTACACATGGGCCAGATCATACCCTCCATCTCTGTTCATATTCCTGTCATGTGACCAAGCTTGGTCACGTGATGGGTCACGTGAGGGCCTCAACAACACCAGTTGATAAAGACACCGTGATGGTGTCGCAAGCTTCTGATATGAGCTCTGTAACCAAAGTCTCAAAAAGGTATCCTTTATTTAATTGATATAATAATGGGACAGGAAACAAACTTTCATGCTCGATGTTTATTTCATATTTCGGAAAATTATCAATTCCATTTCAACCAACAGTTCATTTATTTCTATGAGAAAAGCTTTTTCCATGAGAAAAACTGTCGCCCTTTAATTGTTTGTTGTGTGGTTAACATCAACTGAAAGGGACAAAGAAGTCTGTAAATTATGTAACGGAGGTTAAATAAACAAAATTGAGCATTTACAAAGGCTCAGGAAATTATTTAATCTCCAATGTTTTGAGTCGCCTTTGTCCATTAAGTATCACATTTTTCAATACAGCCACCAAAGTCGTTTTCAAAACGTGAGTTCCATCGATCACATTTCTCAACGTCCGATTTTCATCTAAAGAGGCAAGTCAGTGGCCCTACACATTGTCATGATTACCAATGTAAAATCAATAACACCTTTCATTTTAAATTTTGTCTGAAATGTCATTTCCCTTACGTCTTCTACGGCATAGAAGTCCAAACCTTGATCGGTGAAGTTCAGGTTGAGGCAGTAGTTTCGGTTCTGATCTGGCTGATCTGTCCCTAGAACGGAGAGCTGTAGCCCCTTAACTTTGTCTGCAGCTATAGATAAAAGAAAGACACAATACTTTTACAGGCCTGGGTGCAACCTTGAAACAAGTGAGCTCATTCTGTCAGACAGCAGAAATGTAATGAGTGCTAAAATCTAACTTGTTTACCATTTTTAAGGATCTTGTATGTGATGTTCAAACAAGTGTACTGCTCAAATTTCCCTGGATCCTCTGACGACCTGAATAATTTGTTGAAGTCCGTAACCACCACCTCTTGGGCTTTTGCAGGCCTCTCGTTCTGATCAGCAGGGGGGTCGAATGGGTTTGGACAAACATCTGCAAAAATAACCAAACAAATTGAAACAAAATAAGGCAAGCGTACTAAAGCTTGTTCCCAAGTAGACAAAATTCTCTTCAATTGATTCAGAATGACTATTCACTGGGAGTCTGTTCGTGCATGTATCTAGACTACACAATGGGTGGGATTTAGTTAACTCCTATCCGTTACGGGGTAGTCCTATAGGACAGCACTGCCCAGATCACAAGTGTCAGTGAGTATAACTGAGCCAGTCAGTTTAGCGCAAAGGCTGTAGGCTGGCCTAGCAAAAAAAGAAAGTTCAGTGACTGTTATGTGGTTTTAATTTAAAGATTGTGCGAGGTAGTGCATTAAATGCAGTGGTTCTCCCCTCCCCTTCCAACTCTGTGACCAAGGTTCGAATCCCAGCAAGGCGACTACATGTATAAATAGGTTTTGCTGTTAGCTTCCAAGCTTTTTTTTCTTTCAAAGGTAACTAGTTGAGGTTTTCCTCCAACAAGTAAACGTCACTTTTAGGTTTGCATGCTACAGGTGTGGTGTAGGTTTCAATGGAATGCTTGTTTTCATCACCAGAAATGAGTGAGCATAATCAGACAAAGACAGAAAACAACATCATTGGACGAGAAACTTACTGATCAACGAGTTGTTGTAGATGATTCTTTCACAAAACTGGTGGCCAGGGGTTGGAGTCTAAAAAGTAACAAATCAAAACAAAACAAACTATTTCACAAAGAAACATAATAATAACTTCCAGTCAACAGCTATATGACTTTAGCTTTCAGTTACCTTATGGCCAAAATATTTCACAGTGTTTTCACAAATTGACACAAAACTCAATATCCTGCAAAAAGGTCATCCCGAGATAATCGCATTTGGAGTTAATCCTTCATTCAAAACACATGTTCGACTAGTTTGTTCTTTGCTAATTCAAAGTGGTTTGTTAAAATCTTCCTGAATTAAACAGTAATTCATTAATATAGATATTTTATACTTCTTGAAATCAGCAGAACGCAGAGGCCTCTATTATTTTTCCCATTACTTTGTACCTCTTTGTCACTTTGGGAAAACATGAAACGTTGTGAGAAATTGTTACATTTACGCGTGCAGCGCACGTGCGTGTATTCTTTATCAACATTGTAGGCCTACGCGGGCGCGAGTCTGCTCCAATCTAACGCAAGTAGAGAAATACATAATCCCTCTGGCCCTGCTAACGAGGTGAATAGAGTTTATGTCACTCCGTGAAAACAAAAAACACAGGCTTTTTGTCAAATGTTTGTTTACGAAAAGTAAAAATTACAAAAGTAAGTAAACAACATTGCTAACAATATTATGGTCAAATTGTTCTTTTTGTCAAATGCAATAAAATGGCCAGCAAAACTCATCATCGAAATATTATCGATTTTCCAACTTGTTGTCACTTCGTGAAACACCAATAATTTGTAGGCCAATATATACTTGTTTTTCCTGAAATTGTAACGTAACCTTCCACACTGAAACTAAGGCATCCTTCACAATCGGGTTACGGATCAAACACTCCAATGTCATCAAATATCAAAACCAAAACTAAATACTAATTTGAGCGATAGTCTTTCCTCTTTTCAAGATCTATGTCAATACAGCTACTTCCATGTACATGGTGAAGTAAAATCTTCGTTTTTGGAACTTGCAAATAGAAACGAAAGTATATGAAGTATACAAAATCATTCCAGTCTGCTCTGATGAATAATTTTAAAAATTGTGATTATTTATTCGCTACCATTTTAAGCCACATTAAAAAAACGGGAAATTGAGGCTTAGAGGGTATAAATAGTCTGGAACCAGACCATTCTTGGAAGGTATAAATAGTCTGGAACCAGACCATTCTTGGATTGGTATAAATAGTCTGGAACCAGACCATTCAACAGTTTACAAGCTTGTGTGAATTTTGAAATTAGCACGATAAGTCGCACAACATTGGCGCGTAAATGTCAACGCTCATTGATTTGTGCATGTATATTAATATGTGAGACTTTATCACGCAACAAAATCGCGCATGTGTAAATAAAATTCAATGAACAGAATTAAAAATTGCTTCTGTAGCCAGTTATTAACTAAGCCGTGCCAGAGCCAGTGAGGCATAGTGAGCTAAAGGCCTACGTAACTGCTACCAATATAATGGGCCTTTTGCTTTTGGACGAGTTGGCAATTTTTGTCTTGTTTCCTGAATGCATTCATCAATTGTTAACTGTTGAATGGGATGGCGCCAGACTATGTAGGTAGGCATAATGCAGCCTTATTTTACTGTCGGGTTTTTTTTTAATCTGGCTTTAAATATTAGGGAATGTTTGATTACAAATTTTAAATTATTCATTGAAGCAGACAGGAATTAATTAGTAATTAACTTTTATAAGATGGAATTTTTGCAACAAGGTGATATAAATCAAATTATAGGTTTTGCCCTTCACTGACGTTCAAACACTGTATACTCAGTGTGTTACCTCTCGAGTGAAAGTTGGAAAAAATCACTCGGGTGGGACTCAAACCCTGGACCTGCTGCTTTCTAGTGCAGATGTCTTACCACTCGACCACCAAGCTAACGGGATCGGTTGGCTGGTTCGAATCTGATGTACATAGCAGCGGGTACCGCATAAACTATTATAAGATGGAATTTTTGTGTCAGGGTGATATAAATCGAATTAATAGTGATTAACTTGCTTTTATTTGTCTTCGCAAGTTCAAAAAATTAAGATTTTACCTCACTTTCAATTCAATATGGCCGACACGTGCTCGTGAGTGATGGCTACACTCTGAAAACTGCCTGGCGAGTACACACAGTGGGACCAGATTGAAAATAAGTATTGTCGACTCATGAGCTTCATAAGACCAACAAAAAAAATACTTCTGCTTCCGATTACATGGCATTCGATAAGAGGGTAGGTAGGAAGGGAATTTTTTTTTTTGCAAATTTTTTTATGTACGATCATACGGAGGCGTCTGCGTGTAATCGAGAGTAAAAGGTATAAATTGATGGTTTTGAGTGTTTTTTTCTTCATTTTTCAAATAAAAAAATTAGGTAAGGGGCTGTCAGAACAGGGTAGGTATAGGGAAACTGGAAGCAGAACTGTTTTGTTTTGTTGGCCTTATACTGAATAATTACTCAATTTTAAAAAGCTGTGCAGTATTTTGTTTATCATTGCATTTTTAAGACTAAGATTAGTAAAGGAAATCCAAGTGCTGGTGACAATTTATTGGAAAAAATAATTAACCTATCCCCGTTACTGTGTAAAAAGAATCTTGTAATCACATCCAAAAATGGAGCAAATTCCGAATATGTGTTTTTTATGGTGTATGTAAATCAGGCATAAAATATTCCAATAACAATTTTGTATCTAGAGAAGTAATGATTTTACAATGATTCAACCCTGACTTGATAAGCAAATGCAAACAATATTGCCTACCCTCATTTTTCTCTCCACCCTAATGCACAGAAATTACATTTTTGGTCATTAAAATGAAATTGTTTCACGCAAGCTTGATTTTATATCTCTGTGTATACGGACAACTTTATATTCTACACTGTACATAATCTGGCTATGTTTAGATCGTGCTGCATTCACCAAACCATGTCGTGCCATCTAAAAGCTGCTAACAAATTTCCAATTAATTTTTTCCCAAGAACAGGCTTCAACATAGCTTACAGAACACTTTCCGTAGTTAGAGGCTGGACGGGAGATTTCAATTCCCTGAAAGATGGTCACAAGTGTTTTTTCCTGAAGCCTAGCGGTAAGTTTAATGGCCCATTAACTTTCATCGTTTATGGATCAATGAGTGTTAAATTCTCTGAACTGGCTTTGTTGTCAGCTGCTGTACGGGCATTCTGTTAGTCAGTAAGTGGCAGGCTTATACACGCAATGCAATTGACAAAGCTAACCCAGCAAATAAATACAACAGCTGGAACAAAACAAATAGCAAAAGGTTGAGAGGGGTAAATCATCGGTGAATTTGGGATCAGGTTTAATGCTGTGATTTGGTTAAATTACTGCCCCCATAATGAATGGAATATCAATGTTTTTGACCAAAACACATGATTTTAGATTAAATCAACTTAGGTTTTGCCCTTCACCGACGTTTAAACACTGTATACTCAGTGTGTTACCTCCCGAGTGGAAGTTGGAAAAAAATCACTCGGGTGGGACTCGAACCCACGACCTCCTGCTTTCTAGTGCAGACGTCTTTACCACTCGACCACCGAGCTAACGGGATCGGTTGGCTGGTTCGAATCAAATGTACATAGCAGCGGGTACCGCATTAACTATTGATAAGATGGAATTTTGTATCGGGGTGATATAAATCAACTTAGGTTTTGCCCTTCACCGACGTTTAAACATTGAGTATACAGTGTTTAAACGTCGGTCAAGGGCAAAACCTAAGTTGATTTATATCACCCCGACACAAAAATTCCATCTTATGAATGATTTTAGATTAGTCATAGATAAATTAATTCTAATGAGTAATTGATGGGGAATATCAATTTAGGTTCAACTTTCTTTCAGGCTTTGAATGCCATTTTTGTTTTCATTCTGGAAAAAATTATACACTTTGAAGAACCCACAGAGCTCCAAGAACATTATAATACAGATCTCCTTTTCTGCAATGTGAAAGTGTACCCTTTATGCAACCATGAAGTACAAACATGTGAAGGCCAAACATTCTATGGCAGAATTCACAGTAGGCCTAACGTTTATGAAAGGCTTATTGAAATACATACAAATACAACAGTGGTTACAAACTGAATACATCTGTACTGTTACCTCAAATGATCAATTGAATGAATTTGTACCATGCCTTTCTGACTCACAAACTACAAAGGACAAAGGTCATGAAGCCATTAAAAAAAAAGAGGCACGTTAGGTGAATTTACTTTTCTGGGAAAACAATCCAACTTCTTCAAATGTAGAAAATGTATTTACAAAAAAGACTGTGACAGGCCTACTAAATTTCAATTTTGCAACAATTGCACAAAAGTGTATTTGAATTTAAGGCGTTCTCATAAGCGAAACAGAATTATTTGTGTTCCAGTCTATTCAATACCAACCCTGGAAAAAGACACTTTGGAAAGTCCCCCTTCACAAATCCAAAAGAATTCGGCAACGTCAATACAATAGGATACAGGAGTGCCCTCGACACGCTTTTCAATACATAGGCCTATAATACAGTCTTTTTATGGGGGAAATTCCTGCATATAACAGAAAATCAGCCGCATAAAAAAACCTATAAAAAACATAGCAAATTGTCTAGTAAACGTATGTAGCCCTTCAGTGAACGTGCGGGCACAACACTAGAACTTGAGCAACTGGAAGTGAAATTATTTTGAATATTCTTTAGAATGACTGAAGTAAGAAACTATTTCAGGTCCACAATAATTCTCTGATCCTTCAATTTCCATCAGGTTTCGGAGGATTTTGCAGGATTTAGGATGGTTGACCACACTGTTGTATTTTTCTCTCTATAACATATTGCATGGCTTTAAAATGCACGTTTGTCTTCATAAGTGTTTGATTTTCAACTGATTAAAGTTCAATGAACACTGATAAATACCCATTTAGAACGTTGATACATCGGCCCATTTCTTCTGTTTCTCACACAAGTCTGTTTTACAATTGGTCCAAATGGAGAAGTTCAATTATACAAATATATAAAAAAAAACAATA